TATATGCCAATTGGTTTCTTTTTAGAATCAGTATTGCATAATCTACCTATTATGCATTTGAGTACATTTCTGCTATTTTCCTTATACATATTTTATTATTATTTTGCAATGTGGTATCTAAATTTAAAAATAAAAATACTGTTATCCTTAATAACAACCCTTCCTTGTTCTATGTCACTCCAATGAAGCAACTTAAGAACAGATATACAGGGTGATAAAGAAAAAGACTATTCCCAAGTCATCCCACCCCATGGAGTGACTTGGAATGCCTTCCATAGCATTCCATCAAGACAGGCAGCAATTAGGACAATATAAGTTCTGCATCACTTCATGAACCCATTTCAAAGGGCCAGGAGTGTGACTGCTAAGATGTTCAAAATATGAAGGGGAAAATTGTTGTCAAGTCACACACCATATAATACTGAATTTGCATCCAGTAGACAAATGTGCAATATTGCTTTCCTTTATGAGCAGGTAAGGTGAAACTTGTCTTTATATAAACTAATAACCTATTAAGGAGAGGCTTATGCAGGAATCAGCACATCCTAACAAACATACTGGGTGAGGTATAAAAACACAATCTGACACAGCAGATAGCATGACACACTTTCTTGTAATTACTTAATTCACCCTCTGATCACCCTAAAATTCTTGTTTTCCTCTTGCAGTACCACACATGCAATTTAAAAAGTAACAAACTTTACTTTAGAAAAGGAAAAGCACAGGGAGGAAAGTGGATGGGTGCATTCATTTGGTGTACTTTGCACTAATGGTCTGACTGCTGGTCATATGCTCATCAATTTCAGGAAAGAAAAAAAAAACTCATTTGAAAAATCCATTTTTGATGCCTCACCTACCAATGTGAAAAAACTCCTTGGTTTATATGTATTTTAGGTTTACAGCACTGCATCAATTCCAGCCTCATGTTGGTAACTGTTTGATGGAGATCCTTAGTTTCCATCCAAAATGTTCCCTTGGAATTTTTCCATCATCCAGTGCCTCTTAAAACAAAGCATTAAGAATAATTTTTACACATGAAAAACTTTGAGGTTATCCATTTCCTCACCCCAGAAAAGTGCTCCAAGGGTGCTAATCTCATGATTTTCCCAAAACTCTACATTAAAAAAACATTTACCAAATCTCACATTTCTACATTTGCTTGTTTCAATGCAGTGAGAAAACATACCCAGGGAATACACCCAAGTAGTACATTTCTTAAAGTGATCAGTCTAACAGATCCTTCTGTACCATGTTTCAACATTCTGTAGCTGCCCAATAAGCTTGAGTGAAAAAATTTATAGATGTCCCAACATAAAAACATGCCTGAGGAGATGTACTGCAAATTTAGTTTTTTTTTTTTCCTGAACTCCACACCAACAGCTACATTTGTACAAAGTTTAAAGTTTCTATCATATCTAGAACATTACTAGAATTAGTGTCAGTCACAATCTTCTATATACAGGGTGGGGTAGAGTTGCTATGCAGTTGTTGAATGTAGAACATATGCTAACTTCTTGCATCATATTGACCATTGTTTAAAACAAATAACACAGATAAACGATAGTGCAATGTAATTTCAAAAGCTACTAGCTTCATCCAGCAGCATTACTCTGAAACAAAGATGACTCGACTACCAAAACAGCTACTTTCAGTATACAAGAACTGTATAGTAACTTTTGCCCCACCCTGTATATTAGATACTGTTACTGGTAAGAATGACTCTCAGAAATGATATGAATGAGCTTAAAAAAATTCATTATTTCACAGAATCAGGAGCATCAGACTTGATTCCCAGCACAAGTTCTGTCACTTCATTGTTCAACTCATCATTTACCTGACACAATGACTGGATGGTGTGTGCAGCTTTCACTTTCTGCATACAGAGAAAATCAGCATGCTGTTTCAACCCAATCACCACTTTGTCATCTAGTTTTACATTAATTGTTTCTTTTCCACATTCCTCATTGTTAGGCCAATACTGGGTACATCCTTTTTTCAACTTGGGCAAGGTCAGATCCACCACCTGCATCCCCTCTCCTCGATACATGAAACAGTCCATGGTGTGGATGCTTTGGCCCTTGTTCCACGATGCTTCGCATAGTGCAAACACTGGCAGAGGGCAAGAGAGTATTTGGCAAAGATTCTTGTGAATCAGCAACTGTCGTACAGATGGGGACCCGGTCTGGTCGTAGGAGAAGCAGAACCATCCCAAAAGGCTCATGTCAGAGCCCAATTCAATGGCTACTTCGGCCAGGAAAGTCTTGTCAATGGTCCCCTCATTGGAATAAAAGAGGCCTGGTTGACTGAAGGCAATGAAAGATTGGATTTCAATGACCCTTGAACTTGGTGCCGACTCCACGACGATACCTGTGAGGAATCCTTCCATATCAGGCTTGTTTTTTCGATAGTACTCGGCATACAACAACGGCTGAACATGGCTGAGGAATTTGACTTCCACTGACATGGCACTTCTTCAAATTTAAATATAAACAGGCCTATGCTGAGCATGACCTGGAACAAATGAATTTTCTCAGACCCAAATCATTATTGACTGGGAGTACGCGATGTCGAATGGTTGACAACTCACCCTTTTGAGAATCGAAATGTTTTGGCCCCTTCCTTACTTCCACCTTCCCGCCGGACCGTCGCTGTCTTCCCTAAATGAAGTGGCTGGGTAGTCCTCAAGGGATGCGAGGCCCCCTTTCTCTTAGGTATTAGACTCAGATCGTGATTAGTATCTTCATGGATTATGTGTTCTTTGATGAAACGTAATGGTATGTGTTTCAAGTCTTCATATTTTCAAATATCAATTTGCATGTATATATTTTGCGAATGTAAGTAGATCATGCTCAAGTGCATGTGTACATGTTAAGTTTACATCAGGTCGATGAAAGAAAATGTGACCTTTCTTGTGAAAAAGGAACGCTTCCCCATAACAATAACCTTAGGATTCAAAGACCTCTCCATTCTGTTTCTTGGGATCATGGATATCGATATGAACGAAATGAACGGCTTACAATATTTGACATCTGTGTATCAAGCAATCATCAGCCATCATGGCGTCTTGGCATGATGGGCTGGAGACCTATTCGCAGCATATATCAAAGGTAGAGCTTCGCCCATTGCGGTAGTGGTTATTGTATTGTTCAAGTGTTATGAAACTGGAACTGCACAGTTTTCGGGTTGAATTCTTACTCCCCACAGGAGCGTCTTCCAGCGATTGCAGGTTGTAACATCTTGAGTGTTTTTGTGGATCATTTGGTCAAGCGAGTACTTTGGAAGTAGTGCTTTCTCCGTTCTCCACGGGGGCTTTGAATTTAATCCGAAAACAGCATTTATTCTAGACTAGAAGTCATTGACAAATGTTTAGCAGTGTGCTCAGTTATTGATCATGCTTTTGAATGGGTCGAACCAGCTAGATCTGGGTCAGAATACTTCTGCAAAGGGAAAGTAACACCGAAGGAAACGTGATATGCATACTCTGCTCTGGCAATTTATGATAAGCTGTCTTGTAGGGATATAGGCCTTTGGAATGGCATAGACCCGAGTAGTTGGATCTCTTCTTTCCCTTGGGTGGGATGATCAGTTTCGGGGGGAGGTGGGGAACCCAGGACTCCTGTGACGAAACCTTGACAGTGTCACAAAAACTTGAATTTTCTCAGAGAAAGTTCTTAGCCCTGGTAAATCAGGATGAGATTATTGCCCTGGCTTGGGCTCATGCTAAATTGTGGAAATATTCATGAGTCTTTCAGAAATTTGGCCTTGTACAGCCTGCCCACTTGGTATTGGCACACAATGCTAAGAAGGAAATTCAATATATTCTGGCAAGCTGATGGAAGTGCCAACTTCTTTCATTGAGAATAAGGAGAGCTCAGGTTGGTTCTGAGGTTCAATTTAGAAGAAAAGTATGCAAATATATTTCTATTACAGATGAGGCTTTGAGATCTCTGCCCTTGTATTTGTTGGGATCCTGATCCCTCTGATCTGAACCTGCCCCATCCCCATATTGATCGTGACCCTGTCACTGTGTCATCCATAAATTACCATCTCCACCACCTTTCATATTATTTATATGAAAAATGAAAATTGTTGACAGGATGGTTATGACATGATAGATGGCATCTTTATGATTTAAGGATAAGTGCTCCTGTTCCATCCCATTGAGATGGGATCCTGCTGCTTTCATCCTTGGGAGTTTCTCTCCTTTGTACTGAGAAAAACAGAACTTCCAAGTGTTATACGCAGGGATGTGTAAAACTTCTAGGTGTGCACTCCCTAATAGGTAGGGGGGTTATGCACAAGCATACGATGCTCGAAATTAATGGGGTTCACATGTGGGCTTTCTTTAGACTTTGTTGTGATTGTGGGTATTCTGTTGCTATGAGCCAGATATGCTTGGCTTCATAGGGGGCAGCTAAGAATTTTTATGCTAAAATATGAACTCTCTATAAGGATATAGAATCCCCTTGCAAGATTGGTAAGCCTAAAATTAGTTATGGAATTTCCATGGTCACCTTTCCTTCATTTTGATGACTCATAGCAAAGCCTGTACAATAGTTATAGTTATGAAACAATGTAGGTAGACCTATGAAACATTTCTCTAGAAACTCAGCCCATTTCAACATATTCAGAGAGAGGAATGCTGCATAGAGTTGAAGGGCATTTCAATTAGTACCTGTGACCCTGGCATAAGCAGTGATCTTGTTTTGGCCTAGTATTTGACAGATTTATGCCTAAATTCATGACCCTCCAAGGGTTTAATAATAGGCTTATATCCTAGTTTAGCATTCAATTCAAGTGATTGTTTTTGCAGGTGCTGCTGGTTGGACATTTCACTCTCCCTTTGATATCATGGGGAGTTGAGCCAGAAGCCACTATTCTTATATGATGAAGGATCCAACTTGCTAGTGTTAGGGTGACATTTCTTTTACATACTTAATACATGCACAGTCAAGTGCCAATAAGTGTAGGTGTATTACATTTGTATGCCATGAACCAAGATGACGTCATTGGGTGGTGGAACATCTCAGTCACATGTCTCCCGTTCTCTTGAAAAACTCCTTGAGGATGCTCAATTCACTGGTGAACTGAATCTCAGTGGACGCAATCTTAAGGAATTCCCAAAAGTTGCAGCCCAGTACAATCTCTCTGACACATGTAATACTGGTATGTGACTACAAAGTATCTATTTCCTTATGGCAATAGCTATGATAATATGTATGTGTAAGACATGCAAGTAGGAATAGAGAGTGGAGTCCAAAAGCAAACTTAAAGATATTGATATTGATCATAGACAAAGACAATCTTAGGAGTGAAAAGAGATGATTATAACTGGACAGCATAGTTACTATTCTCTTCAAACCCCTACTTTTTGCCCCTTTGAGTATGAGCAGCCCAACAGTATACAACATGGATGCCAATGCCAAACATTACTGGTTTGATCCCATGTCACAGAATTTTTTTCCATTAACTTCAACTGAATTTCAAGTAGGAAGCACAATGATTAGGTATTGTATTACAGGGTATAGCCAATAGCAGAAAGTAAAGAGATGGATAAGACTAAGTTTTCAATTTATTGAATCAAGTCATGAAAAGGTTCCATAGAACCATAGGTTTGATTGTATTGTTTCTGTTTTTGTTTTACCATGACCACATTCATACATCAATATAGACCTTTTACTTCTGTTATGGACCATATCAAAAGCTATGGCTTAACTGTAAAAAAAAGCTAATAAAAAAACTCATTGTTAGAGTTTAACAATGAGTTTAGCTTGCAAATGATGGATGGGACACTAGAAAATTAAAAATAAAAAAGAAAATCATTTTAATCAGAGAAACATAAGAGGAGCCTCTGGTTAACATTAAAATAATTAGCAGTCAATTGGAGGAGTAGATTCCCTTCATTGGTAATTCATGAGATTGATATTATCTATTATTGCAGACTTATCCAAGAATCGGTTCTCAGAATTTCCTGAAGAACTGATTGAGTATGGTGCCCTGGAATGCCTGGATTTGTACAATAATGTCCTCAAGGCTCTGCCTGACTCTGTGATATTTCTACAATCCCTACGCCATCTCAATCTCAGGTCTGCCAAAAACATATATATTCTTTAGTCATAAGATTTGCATGTATCTTTGAGCAGAGTAATTTTTAAAATATATTTTTGATTTGAGAATATTCTGGTGACTTTTTATTCTTATCAATCACCTAATGGCCACTTTTGTCTCTACTAATGCTTATAACTGTTTTTGTTGTAGACAACCTTTGGCTTGTTTTTTAATGACTTTCTTTTCCTTTCCACATTATTCTGATGACACTTGACTACTGGTGGCAGATATAAAGCCCTTTTTTTTAGCATGCAAGATGGTCTAGTTTTTTCAGTGTTGGTCTCATGATCTGCTTGGCAGAGATGTCACATGTTTGATTCCACCCATAGCCATCCTCTGGCTTGAGACAAGTCCAGATAGAAGGTTTTGTATGTATTTTAAATCCTGAAGAGGACTGGACTCTGAGATTAAAGTTAGGTTGACTTTGAATGGAATAAAATCTATATCAGACCCTGTAGATTTTGAGTCCAGCACTGAAACAGCTAGACTGTCACCTGACCAAAAAAGAAGACTCTGTTTTTTAAAATGAGCTCACCATCCACATGGCTTGCCCCTATTCCAAGTTCTACAATCAGTTTTTAGCCTATATACACTTTTTAAAATTTAATTTAAACCCTTTGTACTGATTTCCATAGTTGAATTTATGGTGATAAGATAAACACTTGGTAATGTATCCTAAGAATATGTTAAGTTTCTTTTTCATTGCACAAATTTTCAAGTGTCTAATGATTCATGAAACACCCTGTAAATGTCATAATTAGTCTCGTTTTAACACCTCCATTGGGTTTTTTAAAATTCAGATTCATTTTCTTTCTTCTGCTATTCTATAAATTGGGGTTGTTAAGTTAACAGATATCTGCTGGGACAACATATATAGGATGATTTATAAAAAAAAACACTACTGTTTTCTATGGGAGAAACAGTTTAATAAATGTAGCAAAAAAATTACATTGGATATGTGATCGATATTTGACAGTTACAAGGTGTTGAAATGCTTGCCAGCTTATTTTCAGCACCCCTGCCTAAGTCATGCAATGCCTATTTAGAGGTGAATGAAAGATGCTTAGAGGTGGAGCATTCCACCTCAAGTGAAGTGATGACCTTTGCTCGACGATCTCAGAATTCAATGAATTTTTCAACTTTAACTTTCCAAGGGACAATTGGATCCAGCTGATACTTCACAAAGAGGTTCATGAGTCTAAGGTTTTTTCATTTCCGCAAGATGGTGCTGTATCCTGATAGAGGGTGCTGTTGACTTGACCCCTGCCTTTGTGCTATGCCACCTTTTACTTGGGAAAAAAAACACCTGCAAGTTTTTTTGTTTTTTTTTGGCCTTTGAACCTTACATGAACCTCTCTGCCTAATATCAGTTGTATTTGAAAGGCCCAAAAGATTTGGTCTTGAAGCCAATTTAAAAAATATGAATTTAGTCAAAATCAGTTTAAGGCCAAAACTGGGAAAAGTACCCTAATTGAATTTTCAGATGAAGGAACATTCCTGCATTTGAAAATGTCCTTTAAAAAGTTAAAGTTGAAAAGATCATTAAATTCTGAGACAGTCGAGCACAGATCACCTCATTTGAGGTGGAATGATCCACCTCAAGCACCTTTCATTTACCTCTAAATGGGCATTGCACAATTTAGGCAGAGGTGCTGAAAATAAGCTGGCAAGCATTTCAACACCTTGTAACTGTCAAATATCAATCTCATATCCAATGGAATTTTTTTGCTGCATTTATGAAACTATTTTTCTCCAATAGAAAACAGTCGTGTTTTTTTAAATCACCCTATATATTTGAATGAGAAGGAAATAGACACCCTTTGTGGTCTCAAACATCAGTGAATTAAATTATATTAAAATGGTAAAACTGTTGTGCAGAAGTGAATAATGTTTCATTTTAGTTGAGCCTACCATTTTTTCATGATAATCAGACTTGTTAGTTTATATTTATTATGGCCTTCATTGAGATTGCTGGGAAACAGGAGACTCTACATAGGGTGTCTGCTTCAATTAACATTTCAAAGAAATTCTCCCTAATACCTATGTCTTCTAGAGCCAATATAGCCTCTTTTCCTTTGATAGCTCTTCTTCCTGTTCCATGTTGATGGTAAATCACTATTATTGGAGAGCTAGACAGCTGTTCTATCTGTGAAAGAAGCTATCAAGATAAAAGGACTCAGCTTTAATGAGGCCATATGAGTTATACATGGAATAATGAGGTTTTTTTTATTGGAAGGAAGCATTGCTTAGCCTTTACATCTTCATTTTAACCCTTTCAGGAGTATGGGCATACCAGTACATCCTGCTGCTTTCTTTGTGAAGTTTTGAACTGAAAGTGTGGCCAAACCTCCACTCCTGAAAGGCTTAATATTATGTATCTGATTGGAAAGAAAGTTCTCGGAATTTCATGAACAATTATTACAACCCAGTTTATTTAAAAGCTTATAAACACACGCAGAACATTCTAGCATGCTCTGGAAAAAAATTGTACTGGATATTCAAGAAATTCCGAGAACTTTCTTTCCAATCAGATATTAATGCCTAAAATTCCTTAATACAGTCCTGAAAAAATATGAATATTGAAACCAATAGAAAAATGTGGAATGTTAGTTCTGCTTCCTATATGCTATCTCGTTATGTTATCTTCATCATGAGTGTGACTTGATTCTTCTCCATAATCTCTCAGTGTTGTGATGATTTGAATTGATTTGCCTTTGTGTGGGTGTAGCCGAAACCAGTTGAGCATCCTGCCAGGCACAATTTGCCAGCTGCCCTTGGAAGTGCTCATTGTGAGCCACAATAGATTAGTTAGCTTACCAGAGGAGATAGACCGTCTGAGCCCCTCCCTGCAGGAACTGGATGTTTCCTGCAATGAGCTCACCCATCTACCACCCAACATGGCATCCCTGTTGCACCTCAAAAGTCTCAATCTGCATGCAAATCGCCTCATTGAACTACCAAATGGTCAGACTCTCTCTTTGAGCACAGGTCCCCATTTTTATTTGTATCCCAAGAGAGAATATCCTATGTTGCCCTGATTGATTTCCTACAGAACTCTGCCAGTTGCGGTTATTAAAACTTGACGTGAGTGGGAATCGGTTGCCAATTCTGCCAGCAGAGCTACGGTCAATGGCATCACTGGTTGAGCTTACCCTGGAACGAAATCCCCTTTCATCACCCCCTGCTCAGGTCTGTACTCATTCTCTGTATGCTCTGTATGTGTTCCAAGTTTTGCTTGCTTTCTAATATCAGTATATTTTGGATATTGTACATCAAGAGAAACCATCATACAGTCATCTTGTATTGGTGTAATTTTTCACGGACAATAAAGGAAGCATAATGAAATGTTGAAAATATGACTGGTGCTACCACAGCAGGACTGGAAGATGCCAAAAAGTGATGTTTCTTTTCCATAGCTTATATTACAGACTTATTGTTTGATGGCATCTTTAGATAAAACTATTTGCTTATTTTTGCCTTGATTGTCATAAAAAAAGCAGCACCAAGGAGTTGAGCAATCCCATTGACATCTGGTGCACAAGCTCCTAGCTGTGTGTCATGTATTAATTTAGGAATTCAAGGGTAATACTAAGAAAACTTGCCAAACACTCCTATCTAAATGAGGGAGGAGGTTTGTACCAATCATCCAAAGTCATCACCATGAAGGAATATATTAATTAAACTTTGAATGAAACCTTTAAATGATATGCAAGAAAATCAAGCAAAGTTTAACTTATAATAAGGTGATGCAGAGAAAACTTGCTGAACACCATAGGAATGGAGGAAAGGTGCAGTGCCGCTGATATTGCCAGTTTCCATTTCTTTTTCTTCAAGTCCCTTGCCTTTTGGGCATTGTTGAGTTTTTAACTGTGAAGCCATGCCTAGGCAAAGTTTCTGAAGGCAATTTCACCAACTTGTTCAAGTGCTTGATTAACATATATTACATTCAGATACAGTCAACTCTTGATATACTGCCACTGTTGGTCCCAGCAGATTTTGGCGCTAAATCAAAATACATGGCTTTAAAGTTAAAAAATTTATTATAATTTATATAAAATATGCACAAATTTTCACTTTAATCCGTGCAGAACACACTAAATACAATGCCTTGAAAAATGATTCTATCTATTCCATCCATAATTAAATCCAATCATTTATTTTAATGAGTATAACTCCTGTGCACTGTCTGCTCACATTATTACCCCAAAACACAGAAAAATAGTTCACAAAGTTTTTCTTACCTTTAACCACTTATGCCTCCTTCTGACAGCACACTTCCAATTTTTCCTTCACACTCCCATTTTTTCCCATCACTGGATAGCGAATAAACATGAACTATTGGCTGGAGAAGCTACATACAATCTGAATGAGACATTTCCATTCACCAAAAGAAGACACAGGATTAGGCCAGGTTCGATGACCCTATAAAGCCCCCTTCAATCCCCTGAAGGTCCATTCTAATGCTAAGATATCCCTCACAATTTTGCGATGTATCATGAGATTGAAAGGAGCAGCTTGCAGCCTTAAATTTTATACATGATGCTATGATTGTGGCAGGTACAGTATGCTGCTTGGGGCAATATTGAGTAAGACTTGCATAGAATGACACATTTGTGCAAGTGAAGGTGTTAATGGATGGCAGTTAGCGAGGGGTGGCACTCTAAGGGGGGAGCACCTATGGTAAACATATAGGGAAGATTTGTTCTCAGGAAGGAGTTGGTGATAAGCAAGGGTGGCACTATATTGAGGGTTGACTGTATTTAATCTAGGGTATTTCAAAAGTCTATATACAGCTTTTTTTTTCATGAACATGAATTTTGTATTGAGCAATGAATTTCTGAATGATGTGTTGATAAAGTTCAGCATTTACAGTTTATGTGAAAAATACAGGACCCACAATACCTAATCCAATAGCTAATGCATATTTATTCCAGTTAAATATATAATAACACTTTTTTATATATCGGGTTGCACAACTTTTGAAACACCCTGTATTTTTCAAGCTAACTGAACTGGTAACTGATCTGGTCAGTTTTCATAGACCAATCAAGGATTTTTTTTACTAGTTACTCTTGACAAAGTCCTTGGAATCTTTTTTTTTTTTATCTTTCCAGCAATCCATGCTCAAGAGATTAAGCCAGGGGTCTGGAACCTTTTTGGTCATGTGAGCCATATTAAGATTGAGCCATGTGTTTATGAGCGAAATATTTTCAGAACAACAGAATTTTTCTTGAAGTTGGCAACAGACACAAGCATTCTTCGATACATGAGAAAAATGAGGAACAAGCATGATTTTCAGCCATGCCTCAATAAGCCAAACTTTTCGGTTTGTGAGCCAAGTTTGGCTCATGAACCATAGGTTCCCGACCCCTGGATTAAGCTATCACCATAATCTCTAACTTCATGAAAAGTGATAGCTTTGATGTGATCAATAGGATATACTTTTTCACTGCTGGTAAGAAGCCATCTGGAAAAATAAAGGTTTGAGATTGAATGTGGATTTTTTATATCTGATCTAATTAATAGATCACATGTATTATTCAGATATGTGACTTTTTTTTGTCTACTTATCATGTGTTTAGCCTTGCACCTTGCATGGGGAGCTATCTATATGTAACCTGGATATATGTAGACCTATGAGCATTCTATGTTTTTTTTATTTTATTACCAGCTGGTGGTAAGAGGGAAAGTCCATGTGTTGAAGTACTTGGAACTCCAGGTACAGAAAGAAGAGCGAAAGCGAGGGGTTCTGGCAGCTGAGTCCCTCATCCCTGTCTCCATGCCCTCATCTTCCATTTCCTTTTCTAGTGCCATCAAACCTACTCATACCTTCAGGTAAGCATGTGACATCTTTAGATGTAAGGTATATGAATCCCTATGATCATAATTGCATGCTTTTCAATGAATAATTTTTAAAGGCAGGGGTGTGTCTGGGAACAGTTAGGAAGAAGTTCATGGAAAAGGTAAAAAATTCCCTTTTGAGATTCTTTGTTAAATGTATTCAAGTTTATGAACTTTTATCTTTCATTCCTTATTTCAACAATTACACTGACACTTAGTATCAGCTTGTTCTACTGATGTGAAAACATGGATTTTTATAGGAAGATTTGATCAATGAAGTGGATATATCATGATGGCAAGTATTTTCTAATGATTGCATAAAATACATGGGATGTAATGATACTGAATGTAGACCAAGAGAGAGGAGCCTTTCTGGAGGAGATATATGTGGACAACCTGTCAGAATTATAAACACCTTTAATGTAAATGTCCCCAGGCAACCTAGAAGAAGTTCATAACTTTACATGGTTGCAGACAGAATACCATATGACGTATCAGTTAAAAATTTACTGGGCAATCCCATGTCCAATGCGTTTGTGGTTTCATGGAAATTTAAAGGAAAGTGGTTGTGGACGAGGCAAGTAAGAACTTTATTTTAATGCAATGTCAAAAATGAGTAAGTATTACTGTGTGAAATCTGGACTGCTTCCTTCTCACAATAAGAAGTGCTGGCACAGTCCAGCTGATCAGACTGGCACAAAAAAGACACACTCACTCTTGTAACATTTTGCAGAAAGTAAACTGTTGCTTGGGTTCAGAATGACACATTTCATTTAAATTTACATGAAACCACATGACATTCTTAAAGCAAGTTTTTACTGGTAACTGACATTCTTGAAAGCTTGAAACCCAACATCCTGCATTCCTTTTGCATTCTGAAAATTTGGTCAAAATCCATTTATTTTTCATGTCAAAGTTAAATGTGGTATTCTGGTGAAATAAAAAAAACTTGAAATGAGCAGCTCCTGTAATGAATATCTTTGGTGCCATTGCACTGGGAATGCTGATGTTCAGTTGCATTTGGAATGTTGCAGCACTTGCTAGTTTGATCCAGCATTCTGTCATATTTGTGTCTTGATAAATTTTATTGCTCTAAGAGAGTTTTTCTTGCATCACCTGGCTCTGTCCATTTTCACTCCAAGAAAAAAATACATTTAAGCTTCAAGAGTTACGATTTTATTTTGAAAGCACAGCAACTGCTGCCCATTTTAAATGCTGGACTTGTAAGCCATTCTGCTATGATACAAGGGTCACTCAAGAAGTTATCTACCTGAATAAGAAACAAACATCTGAGGGAAAGAATAACAAATTATTTTTCAATGTAGTCACCTTTTAACTCAACACACAAGAAACAAACAGTAGAAGGGTTAAGCAATCATCAATCAACTCTCCTCTCATTCCTCAATTAGATGNAATCAAGACATTTGCATTTGTCTCATTTCATAATGTGCAAAGATGATAAGATAGCACTTCTTCCTTCATTACTTGTGCAAGTTACTGCTCCAAAAGGATATCCTGCCAATGCAAGTCATGAGCTAAAGTATATAAATTATCCCACTTGATCCTTTAGGTTACCTCCCTGCTCACCCATCTTCATTTACATTTGAGTATTTGTTTTGGGCATTGCAGATACAGCAATGGTGTGGAAGCACGACAACAGCAGGTGTCAGTGGACAGTGGTTACAGCACATGTGATGGAGATCTCCAACGCTGGTCCCAGGGCAGTCATGATGTATGTCTAACTTTGTTTGCTTCACTCTTCTGTAAATTTTTCAGTTCATTCTTGTCTCTTTCCTACTGTGGATCCCAATTCATATTTATTGCATCAGTCATGGGGCTCGACAAACAATGCAGCAACAACCTTGGTGCCGCCCTCAAGTCTTCCAACATCATTAACTCAAGTATATATGGCAATTAAGCCCATCTAATTGAGGAATGAGAGGAGAGTTGATTGATGATTGCTTAACCCTTCTACTGTTTGTTTCTTGTGTGCACATTTTTATGGGCCTGCATAGCCATGAAACATTTGCCTGAATTTCCTTGCCTATGAATATCTCTGGAAACTTTTTTGCACTGATGTGAAGTGAGGAGAGCAGAGAATGTTCTTCCATAAAATATAGGCTTATTTCTTAAAAAACAAACTCTACAGTAGCAATTTTCACATTTGGAGTTTGATGAGAAAAACTGTGACAATCTGCTTTTCTTGTCTATTCTTGGGTTCTAAAGAGGGAGGGGCAAGTCCTTAGCACATGTGAGTGAAGGGAGATCTCTGTCCTTTAATATCAAGTCGCAAGGAAAATGATATGGAGCCAGGGTGGGTTGTATGAATGATAAATCGAATCTAATACTTTAATTGAAAGAGGCTGAAAGTTGTGGTGGCTGTAACCTCTAATGCGTGAGGCCTATGATGCTCTGTCATTCTGGACTATAGGCTAGGTCATGAAAATTGAGAGGCTGAAAGCAGTGGTGAATGGTTATCACTCATCCATGACCCAACACACAAGGCCTACAAGGCTATGCCATTCTCTGCCATAGGCTAGGCCCTAAAATCTTTGGTGAAGGTAAAAAGTGTCTGCATTTTTTTGTCGATGGTATCACTTTTCCTGAGGCATAATTTTAGTTTTTTTTCTGCCCATTAGACAGCCAGTGTAGCAGCCGCCGGCCACTAGTATATTTTTTTTAATCCCATGCATGCTGCCATACCATACTTCAAGCCATCCCATGTTATTTAAGACTTTGGTTGAACTGTTCAGAAGAAATGAATCCAAACATTTTATACATCTTATATAGCAATTTCTTCTTGTATCAGACATATATTATGCATATGTCCTGGCCCTGTGTCGATTTCCACTTGGCTCAATGGTGTTGCTGGTTGGCCTACTGCAGGCATTGGAATAGTGTCTGAAATACCCCCAAGTTGCATGCTGAGATTCAGATGAAAGTCTGTCAAACTGAAACTTCTTGATCGAGCCTGGTTGGGAAGGTCTGGGAACTTCTTCTGTAATCCCTCAAATATCATGTATGAATTCACTGCAGCAATAATAATCAGATGGAAGAAGAGAGTCTTCCACTATTTAATAGCAAGAAAGTGTTTCATTACTGCTGGGAATCAAGACATAATATGCAATCTGGTATCATTTTGGCATTTTATTTCTCCATGAACTACATTGCACAATGAGGAGGAGCAGTGGAAGGCACTTTTTTGGGAGAGCCAATCATGTGAAGGGATTCTGCTTAAGAAGCACTGAGAACAACTTTCCCAATTCTTCTGTTTTCCATATGATCTAGTTTTTATGTTTTGAAAGACACAATCAAAACTTTAAGAACATCTAACTGTACTTATCAGCTATGTGTGTGCCAAATATGAAACAGATCCCACCTAAGAGATTTCAGTGATTTTGTCATTGGCAAAAATGTTGGATTTCTCTATGGGAAACCATAGAAGGGTTAAGGCCTCCCTCTTACTTTTGGACATATTGTCCATGTTTTCAAGAAAGTGAGAAGGGAAGAATGTGTTTTTCTGGAAGCTGTGGAAAGTTGTCGTACCATAGATTATGAGGCTATGGCATGGTGTCAGTCCCTGAGTGTTGCCATTGCTTCCATCTGGGCAGGGACAACACCAGTTAATGCAGATACCCTCACTTCCTCTTAGCTTTCAGAATGGTGAGAGTGGTTGTTTATCCATTTGCATTCAGAACAGCTTCTTTTGGAAAATGCTGAATATTGACTCAAGCCCTACTTTGAGTTCAGATGCTTTCCCATACTTAGTTGTAGTATGACTTAACTGTAAAGAAATCAAGACATTTGCATTTGTCTCATTTCATAATGTGCAAAGATGATAAGATAGCACTTCTTCCTTCATTACTTGTGCAAGTTACTGCTCCAAAAGGATATCCTGCCAATGCAAGTCATGAGCTAAAGTATATAAATTATCCCACTTGATCCTTTAGGTTACCTCCCTGCTCACCCATCTTCATTTACATTTGAGTATTTGTTTTGGGCATTGCAGATACAGCAATGGTGTGGAAGCACGACAACAGCAGGTGTCAGTGGACAGTGGTTACAGCACATGTGATGGAGATCTCCAACGCTGGTCCCAGGGCAGTCATGATGTATGTCTAACTTTGTTTGCTTCACTCTTCTGTAAATTTTTCAGTTCATTCTTGTCTCTTTCCTACTGTGGATCCCAATTCATATTTATTGCATCAGTCATGGGGCTCGACAAACAATGCAGCAACAACCTTGGTGCCGCCCTCAAGTCTTCCAACATCATTAACTCAAGTACACATGGCAACAGTGGCTACATCTCCAGCTAGAGCACCCATGGTGCCATCTCCATCGAGTATCCCCTCCACTCCGTCCACATTGAGTCCTGGTGATCCCACAGCTTCATTAGAGGATGAGATTCGTCAGGAACTTTCTCGGCAGGCTGCCAATGAGCCATTCCATTGGACTGCCTCTAATATGCTTCACTCTGATGCATCTGCTTTAACTTTTTCCAGGTGGGTTCATCCACACTGAAGCTGTTCATTCACAACCAGTTACTGGTTCATTGTCTGTAAATAAATGGTTGAATGAAAATGCTATTTGGAGAAAATGAGTCCAAGTTTCCCTCTTTTTTTTAATGCCCAGTATAGAATGAAATGGAGGAAGCAAGCTGGAAATACTTCCTGATGCTCATATAAAAAGAATTAAGAAATAAAAAATTAGTTGATTTCCTTACCTAGTTATTTCAGTTTTATTTCTTTGTGCTTTCTTTTTCTTCTGTTATATTTTGCAGAGAAAAAATCATTTACTTAGTCAGCTTGAAAATAAATTCATGCTCAATGATGAGTAATATATGCATCATATCTTTTATACCTCAATTATATCTTCTTGAGACTCCATAGTAACTGATAGTGTTCCTGCACTGATTCTAGGAAAGGGATAATAAATGGAAGGGTCCCTGTTGTTGCCAATGGTTCCTCTGAGGGACCAAAGATCATGCCAAAATCTCCCCCAACTCGCAAGCACATCCAGACATACAAGTGAGTTTTCTTTTGACTCTATCTTATCCAAAGTTGACATGTTATGGGCCTATTTCCTTTATGAATTCATTCTGCTCCCTCCCCATAGCAGACATTTGGACTGCAACATGTAAGTACATTTTGTTTTATGGATTGATTCAAATGTGCTAAGAAACAAATGCTCTTGTCATTTATGTCAATTTAAGTATCCACTTCATTTTCTACTAGAAGCATAGCTGAATCATTTAGATTCACAGTTGCATATGGGTCATTACATCTTAGTTCAACCAATCTCAAATAAATTTGATTATTGGCCAACTCCAATTCTTCTCTAATTTTTTTTAGGTTATACGTATATTTAATTGGAGTAAATTTGTTTCCTATGCTTATTATAGGCTGTAGAATTTTTTTAATTTTGACTTATTTTGCCAAAAATAGATAAGTCTCATGTCTGGAAAAGTTGCCATTATAGTGTTAATTATTATCTAATTTCAAAAAGGAGACCAAGGAGATTCACTTGTTCATAGTCCATATATTGATTTTTTAAAGTGAGAAATGTGAAGCATTGTGCCAGTGCCTCAAGAATTACTGTGATCTCAGCAATCAGACACTTACAGTGGCTAATGGAAAGTTAACCATTTTCATGGAGCCTATTTTCATCATTTAGATTTTTTTGAGTAATTAAGTCATTGAAAATTTAATTCGTATACCCTTAAAAAATGACATCATAGGCAAAGTGTTGCTTTTGCAACTTTTGTAGATATAGTGCCAGTGACAGGAATTACTGCCATTTCAGCAAGCAGGCATTTACAGTGGCTGATAAAAAAATGTACTTTTTAAACCAAATTTTGCCTTTTTATGTATCCTATTTTCAGTGCTAGTTATCACTGCATTTTTGGTAAGAAGCAATATTCCAAATTTTTATGGTCTCCTTTTTGTAATGAGACCATTCATCAGAATGCAACCTTTGCAACTTTTCCAGATGAGACCTTCAAGGACCCCTACCTTTGGAAAAATCAGCCTTGCCCCCAAAATGAGAATAATCTTACAACCTTTACTAAGCATAGGAAGAAATTGGAGCGAAGATGAAGCAACTTCTATTACAAATTCCTATCACCAAAAATCAGGAGCTGAATTGAATGAAGGTGCTGAATTTTTCCCTATTTGGTGAATAGGGATGGAATGACCCATGTACAGGGTAGATCAAAAGTAGGTTCATATGGAGGAACATGTGGTCCAATGTGCAAATTGGCCCTCTTGCACTCTCATACATTGCTGCAGGTGACTGGTCACTGATTGGTAGGCTGTATGACACATGTCCCTGATGCATAGTATGTGGCACTTTTCCTCAAGGAAATCCTGCAACTTGTTGAGGGTTCATGGTCCTTGTATTGCACATAATCCTTTATAACCCTTAAGAAGAAGTGTACAGGGTGGGCTATAAATATTATACCACATTTAAGTTTTATATTTCTGCATATGCAAAGAAAAGCAAAGGAAAACAAAGGTGTTGTGCATATTGATCATAATCTCATTGGTGGCTAGTCTTTGACATTTCAATAGGACTTTGCTCCAGGCCTCAAGGCTCAGTGCTCATGAATCTGGCTAACATTTCTGGTAGCAGAAATTATCAGCAAACGCAAGTAACCCCCATACAACCCTGAGTGTAATCCAATGGATTCCTATATATATGTGGTGAGTGCTGGAAGTAAGTAATCGTCCAAAAATGAAATCCAGTGACCTGAATTGATTGAGGTTGTTGCTGAAAGAGGAGTGGAACAACATCCTGTCCAGTGCAATCAACCAGTGGAATTGATGATTACAGGTTCTCCTAAAGAAGAATATGGTACAAGTAGAAAATATTCTGTGGATTACCAGAATGAGTCTTTGTGTCTCATTGAGATTCAGTTGATTCAATGGGGAAATATTAGTATAGGAAATGCAAAACTGATAGTGTGAATATTTATGGCCCACCCTGTATAACTCATGTCTTCCTTTTTTTTGGTGTGACAGATTTGGTGGTACTGGCATTGGCATTTTTAAAACTGGCCAATGGTGCCATTTTGGCAGCCAATGCTTTGGTACAACCATAGGTTAAATTATAGTGTATATCCCCAGACTTAAATTCATCAAAAGTAAATCACCCAATGAAAGGAGACAGGAATTCCATATACTTTACCTCTAAAGTGAAAGGGATGGGTTTGGTATGTGCCATTCTAGGTGCATTAACCTCTTAACCCTTTCATTGGTATTGGTGTATCCTGATGCCCAAGGATACTCCAATGCCTTCTGCTCTGACACCTCCAGAAGGAGATTATAGATTTAAATTTCTGCCTGCCTATGAAAGGGCTAAGTGGGTATAACATATACAGGGTGATTATAAAGGAAGTTTCCTTGTTCAACGCATCAGAACTTGTAAACAGTTAGACACAGGATTTTGAAATTATATATGAATGCTACAGAGGCCATGAGGAAGACAATGCTGTATGTGTCCTATGTTATAAACAAAAGGGAACAAATGGACCACTTCTCCTGAAAAGCCTTGTAAAGCAACATCACCAGAATGCTGAAGGACATGGAAGATGACACCAAACTCTTTAACCCTTTGGCTGTTTGCCTGAGTACATACTCAGGCTTATGCAGTGGTAGCATGGGTATGTTCTCAGGCTCAGAACATTCACTGTTTTTAGGTTACTTCACAGCTATTTATGCATGTAATTGCTATCTTCAATTGTTATCATATGAAATTATCTTAAATAAACTATTGTTTTTAAACAAGCAGGGCCAATTTTAATATGAAAACGTATCAGCCATCCCCCCGTGTTATAACAGTCAAAGGATTAAGTGTCTCTTTTCATCTTATGCCACTCGTCTTAAAGCTGTCAGACACACGCCAAGGTTAACACAAATTATCAGAAGTACATGTTTTGATTCAAAAATGAATGCTCTTTCTTGTTTTTTTTCCTAGCTCTTACAGTATAGACTGTGGAGCTATCTATGTGCAACACCTGATACACAAATGCTAATTTCTACTCCCAGAAAAAAAGTCCTCAATCTGGTTAGAGACTTCCATCTGAGAAATTCCTCTCTTAAGGGGTTAATATACAGGCTAGGCAAAGATGAGATGAACTATATACTACTAGATCATCAGAGTTGCATGGAAGAAGGAAGATGCTTGAGTAGGTGGGTGAAGCAGATGCTTGTGGCATGCTCATGACCTTACTTTCACCCTGTCCATGAAGCCTTTTTTAATCCTCTGGGTAAAATAGAGACAGTTTGATTGTATTTGAGGAGGACATGCCAGGTTTTAGGACTAAAAGTTAAAACAGCTGGAGGTAAAAATAAAAGCTTTTTTTTTAAATAGTTGCATGACATTTATGGCAGTTTTTTTTGCTTGTATCATCTTTAGTCAGTTGATTCTGGAGTCTGAATTTGATAGTTGTTAGGGGTTCTCATGCTAGGGAATACAAGGAGACACTGAAGCAGTCACAGCGGGTTTCACCAAGTGTGGTCTACAGCCGCAAGATCTCAGCCCCAGTCCAGCAGAGGCCTCAGCCCATGGGTGCACCCCAGGTTCAATACATCTCTTTCAATTTTCTTCCTTCCTTTCTCCCCATTTGAGTAATTTGGTTGTTTCTCCCTCAGGATGAGAAGGGATGTCCTGAAATAGAGAGGCAGACTCATTTGCCCAGACCCAATTCTCCTATCAAGTCTGTCACCCCAAGTAGCCAGATCTTGGAAAGGCAGAGGCAGCAAGCCAAGGCTGCTGTCTACAACTATGTCAAAGTCAGTTATGCTCTGATTTTAGTGTTGGGATGCATACTTGGTTACTGCAGAATAAAGAAAGGAAGAATCTGGAATGATGTCCTCTTAACCCTTAAAGGCATAATTTTTTCTTTATTTTTTTTGGCCAAAACAGTGGTGGGTCTCACTTAGATCCTAGAACATGGGGGGAAAAAGAATTATTTACTTCATTTGTAAGTTAATGGCCTGAAAATTTTTTGTTGTATATTTTCAATTTCACTTATTCTCATGGAAAACAAAGAAATGGTGTCTATAGTTTGAAAGAGAAAATCTGACATCAGCTTGATCAACCTCCTCTTTCTCCTTGTCTATCAGGCAAGGGCAAGCCCAACCAAGGGGATGATGTCTCCAACTGCAGAGGAGTCCACTGCATCTGTAACAGGGAGGCCATCCTCAATGATCCCAATTGCCAATGGGGGAAGCCCATCCCCATCAAGTGGCCCTTCTCACCCAAAGACTAGTCTTAATCAGTACAATCATGTGCACACAAAGAAGCCATCTCCCAAGTCGACATTGGGCTCAGGGAGGGCAATGCGGACAGGGAGCAGTCTTGGAGGGAGCACGTCCAGCCTCAACAGTGTCTCATCAGTCAGTCGACCAGGGCCAGGGCCAAACCGCTCAGTGCACAGCACGTCCACCCTTGACCGACGCATTGGCACCACTCGAAGAGATCCCAACTCTCTCAATTTCACCTTTAGGCGAGATGTAGAGCAAGCCAAGGATGAGCAACAACGCATACAACAGCTCCGCAAGGTATGTGCTTTCTATTAGAAGATCCAGCATTCATAGATCAAGCACACTCTCATATTTCTGATTGAGTGAACACACTATCATGTTTTCAGTATGACTTGCATATGAGCTCACCTGAATCTCTTCTGTTTTTATTTTATTCCATATTTTCATGCACAATTTGGTGAAACCTGAGCTTGTGATGTAATTGTGCTTGTGTACCTTGGGATTTTGGCCATGAGGCTATGATATGTGATATCACTCTTGCATTATCTTTCATTGTAGAATATTGAGAACCGGTTAAAGGTGTCATTACCAGAGGACTTGCCAAGTGCATTGACAGATGGAGTGGTTCTCTGTCATCTGGTGAATAATGTGAGACCTCGTTCTGTCGCCTCCATTCATGTCCCTTCTCCTGCTGTGGTGAGATTTTTTTCATTTCCCTTCACCTTTCTGCATTTCTCCTTCACTTGTATCAAGGCGTTCTTTGCTCATAGCCGAAGCTGACGATTGCAAAGTGTCGACGAAATGTGGAGAGTTTCCTTGATGCCTGTCGCAGGATTGGAATTGCAGAGGTATGTGCCCGTGTTTCTCTGTTTACTCCTTAACTCTCCTTTGCTTTTTCACATAACAGTACTAACAGAAGAGTGAGGAACTTTTGCATCATTTCCTTCGTCTGATTTGGTGATAACATGGGTGTCATGTCCATATGAACTTGCAAGCATAACTCTTGTCTGGAATTTGCTGTTCCCCCACCTTTCTGGTAACTGTTAGAGATTAAATCCTTTCCATAGAGAGTAAATAAGTTTAATTATAGCTAGTTGAATGTATAAGTGATATCTGGCACTGGGAAGAGTACTGCCCATGAACATTCAGAGGGTAAGACAACTTGAAAGTTGAAATGCAACCATGTCCTATACAGGATGGCCCAAAAATCAGGACCCATAGGGATTTCACATTCATAGAGGAAATGCTCAAACTGTTCGCCATTATCATCCAAACGTTTTTTTGTTTCTTTTAACAAATGATACTTGAATCCTCTCAACATTTGGACAGTTATCTTGGCACACTCATCTCTTATATTGTTCTTTAATTCTTCTATGGTTCTGGGACATTCACTGTAGATGGTTGCTGTTAGATTCCCCCTCAAAAGTTGAGTGTTGTGAGTTCTGGTGACCTAGGTGTCCATTGAACCAGTGTATATAAATCACAATTACTTCAGTACAACTGTGAAATCCCTGAGTCCTGACTTTTGGGCCACCCTGTATGATGTGCAAAGTGACTTCAAGAGCATCATTGGGATTTATACAGGTTTGCAGAAGTGATCATGTGTGTTGTTGTCAATCTTTATCATGTAAGTGAGACTGCATTAGTTGAACACTTACAGAATGAGGAGCAAGTGAAATATGGAATTTTCACATGCTTTGTGAGTTTTGGTAAGGGTCTTGGGAGTTGTGAGGTACAAAAGTGTATTATAAAAGGTTTCTCTCAACTACATACATTATATCTCTGTGCAGAATGGAACTGTGCTTTTTTTTTTTTTTTTTTTTTTTTTTTTTAACCATTTCTAAGTTACAATGAAACAACATTTTGCAACTTCTGAGGGGACATTGCAGATGAGGTTTTGTTATGATAAGGGAGCAGATTTTTATCCCAACTGCATTTTCTTTCTGCAGTCTTGTAATTGCAAATACACAAAGCAATTTATGCCATTTTACAAAGACAAAAATGCATATTTTGGTGATTTTTTCATAATACACCTATTTATGCATATGTGCATACGAGGGTATTTCAGAAAGTCCGACTAGTTGGTCAAAAGTCGTCGTCAGAGACGGTCGTCAATTTTTCTGGGTGTTCTTCATTTATCGAAAAGCTTATTCCCCGAGTTTCATTATTTTAGGAAACGATGGAGACGAGAAGCAAAGAAATGTGAGCACGAAGAGGGTGGTCCGCGCAACAATCGATCGAAACCGCCCACCCTCGACGACGAAACCCTTCGCGCGTTCATGCTCTACGATTTTTTGGCTGGGAAAACGGCGACAGAAAGTTTTCGACGGTTGAAAGAAGTAATCCCCGACCAAGCCCCGGTGGTCTCGACTGTGTGCAAGTGGTTTCGTCGACTTCAAACCGGGCATTTCAGCTTGAAAGATGATCCGCGTGAAGGACGACCGAAAACGGCGACGGATGAAGAAATGGTGAACTCAGTGAAGGCTTTAGTGGCTGAAGATGCCCGGATTACCATCTGGAAGATCCACGACATGCTGAAGATCAGTGCTGGATCGATTTGGAAGATCCTTCATGAAGATCTCGGCTTAAGCAAGAAGGCTGCCCACTGGGTGAATTTGGGAGACTTGCCGTCTTTGAACAGGGCCAGGAATTCTTGGCACGATTTCACCCTGGCTTCCTTTTGATCATCCTTCAGGATCCTCGGAACCCAGTGGGCAGCCTTCTTGCTTAAGCCGAGTCTCGGCTTAAGCAAGAAGGCTGCCCACTGGGTTCCGAGGATCCTGAAGGATGATCAAAAGGAAGCCAGGGTGAAATCGTGCCAAGAATTCCTGGCCCTGTTCAAAGACGGCAAGTCTCCCAAATTCAAGAAGCTGGTCACTGGAGACGAAACCTGGTTCTACAATGATGACCCTGAAACCAAAATCCAATCCATGATTTGGTCTGAAGTTGGAGCTGCCCCGCCGAAGAAAGCCAAACGATCCAGGTCAGTGGAAAGAACCATGTTCGCCATTTTTTTTGGCATCAATGGGATTGTCGCCTCAGTCCCTCTGGAGGAAAGGGCCACTGTGACGGCAGCCTGGTACGTCGAGAAGTGCTTGCCGAAAGTTTTTGAAGCCATGGCCCCCGGTGAAGACCAAAAGAAACTTTTGAAGACGAAGTTCCTGCACCATGACAAGGCGCCGGCTCATACCGCCAAAAAGACTCAAGAATTCATTGGGGCCTCTGGTGTTAATTTAGTGTCCCTTGCCCCTGATTCTCCCGATCTGGCTCCTTGTGACTTCTGGCTCTTTCCGAAAATTAAGGCCAAACTTCGAGGCCAAGTGTTCGCGGATCGAAAAGAGCTGATTTCTGCTGTGAATCATGAGCTGTCCCGGCTGAGTGACGCGGCTTTTGCGCACTGCTATGAAAGGTGGATTTACCGCCTCAAGAAGTGTGTGGAAATTGGTGGTGATTGGGTCGAGATGTCATAAATGAATGAGCTTTCAGGTGACATCGAGAAATCCTGGTGTAGTGCCTTCTTTCCATGCGACTAGTCGAACTTTCTGAAGAACCCTCGTATGTGCTCCTTTTGTCCAGAATGCATAATGAATAGTTTCTGTAGAGGGAATTCCATGCTCTAGTACTGTTAGGCTCTGAATCCGTGAGCCTTCTGAAACCAGTTCTAGCAACACACATACAAGCAAGATCCATATAACAGCGTTCAGAGAACAGAATGAAGTTATATGGACATGATGTGAGGTTTTTCAGCTGAGCCCAGAACGGATTGGATTCTGATTCCCAGATGTGCGAATCATGGAAGTGCTGGATGTGTGAATCAGCAAGACCCCACTTTGAGGTCATGATGATTCACATATGAAGCATCAATAATCTAACCATGCAGGCAATGATTTCGTACATGTATGCATTGATCAATGAAATCGGGACCCACACTTCCTCACTCATTTAGTCGGGGTTGGCCGTTGGTCTTAGAATTTGGTTATGTGGATTTTGTACGTGTGTGTGTTACGTACTGCTAGAACCCGTTTCATAAGACTCACAGGTACAGAGCCTGAGAGTACTAGAACATAGTAGTCCCTCTGAAGAAACTTATTCGTTGTGCATTCTGAATACTGAAGGAGCACATATTGAACAATTCCTGTGATTAGTGAGATGTTATGTCACAGTGCCACTCCTGATTATGACATGTGAAAACTATGGCAACTTTGAGTGCATGGCCCCTCATAACACCCCTGTGCAATTTCAACTTCCTATGCCGTACTGTATCTGAGATATTACGTGCTTAAGTGCAAAAGTTTCTTTACCCTCTCTAAATCATATACAGCCCACAAGGTCTTTGCTTGTGGCCCGCTGTGGCTGGTGTCATTGTAAGTGCTACTATTGCTCCTGCCCTGTTGGCTACAGCTATGGACTGCCAGATTGCAGCCTGCAGTATATGAGAAAGAGTTGCAAGTCGCCCTCAGTCTTTTGAGTTCTGCACCCCTGCTCTAAATTAAATTATGCCTCAAATGATGAAACAGTAAAATGAAGTGCAACTCAAAAATTTTTCATCCTGTTATTCCAATTCCACATGGGCACCATTTGTGATTCTGTAGATCTCTAAGCAATGTTTGAGTTCTTGCCACACTTCATGTAGAGTGTCAGGCCTAACCGTCTGGATAGCTGGGATAGTTCTGTTCTTCACATTGCTGGGATGCAGGCAGAAAGTGTTTATGCATTAATACATACACTCTTTTTCTATATCCGCACTGCTGAAACTTTTTCCTATGAGTCTTCCACCACTTTCTAGTTAAAAATAATAATTAATCAATAAATGCATCTACAGATTTCAAATAAGCTCTTCCTTGAAGAATAACAATGAAAATGTGAATAGTCAGGACACATTTCATTCACAAATTACTCAGCAGTGATCCATTAATAAGGTATTCATCATCTCAATCTTCAACTATTTCATTGATATCTCCAACTTCTCACATCCTTCCTTATCGTTGGCCTGTCCATGAATGCCTCAATTGCTAGGTCTTGTGCTTCAGCTAGCTGTCTTGTGTCCTGCTTAGGGATGGGTTATTGACTGATCAATGTTTCAATTGACCAGTCAATATTATCAACTATGGTCAATGTAGCCAACTTTTATTTTGCTTTTTCCTGCACAGTTTGTGCTCCATTTGTATGGCAAGAGTAAAAAATAATAGACTAGGCATGGAAAGTTCACAGGTCAGCATAATCATTTATGACCCTTTATGGACAATATTGGTGAATGAACCCAAGGTTAGGCCTTATATGATCATAAATGACCATATTGACCAGTCTATCTCATCGCTAAGGTAGACCTTAATGTTTCAACTCATGCAATCTGTATGGTAAAAAGTCACTCTGAAACATGACTAAGAAAAAGGAAAAAAAAAGCCTCTTAGGTTCTTCTTGAGGTTCTTAAGTTCTTCATAGGTAGATTAATTTTTTTAGGCACCTCAATTTTCAGAGTCATTCAGGCAGTACTTAATACTGCTGTTATGAGAAAAAAGGGGCAAAGCTGCTGGGGTTCATTCTTTGTTTTAAATAAGTACTTCTTTATACTTCAAGTTCTAGAAAGTTAGTCTCCCCCAATGAACACAGTAGTATTGTTACCTCTTAGCTCAAATTGGTTCTTCAGTTTTTTGCTGCAGGTTAGTCAGTCCCTTTGGTGGCTTAGATCATCGTTGGCCAAGTATTTCAAATACTGGAGCAAAACAGATGTGAGCATGACTGAATACGAGAGTGTAAGTTGCATTGGGAAATGCTGTACCGTACAGTAATTGTATCTATATTGCACTGCAATTTGTAATGTTCATTTCATTGTCACCTGTCAACGATGAAATATCTGCCTGACGATTCAGGATCAGAAAATATTAAAATGGGGAAAGCACAATCCATTACTCAGATGCTCTAAGTTGTTCTGAACAGGAAATATGGCTAAATGGCTGCTTCAAGTGTATTTGATTCCGTGATGAGGAAAGTAGCCGTACCTGTACAGTCCTGGATTGGAGATGCTTCTTTTTTTAATCTTTGATTGCTGTCGTACTCAGGTATTGTGGAGAATCGGTGGATGGACCTGGCCCTCTTTGGAGACACCTCGATCGTCGAGTTACGCTTCCCTCCCTGATCCACGCGTGTTCACTCACTGCTCCAGGGGCCTTTCATACTCGATTTGTGTCTTCTTTTCATTCGCTTCCCCGTGATGGTCTTCGGGAAACGATGGACGTGAAAGTTGTAGCGGCTGGCCATCCGTGCCCCGAGCCCATGATCAAATATTCGTGTCTTCCCTGTCGGTACTGAATTTCAAATAAATGTGACATGTATTCCCTACGTTGTCTTCAAATTTAATGCCGTTATCTCTGATCACGCCGATGATGGCAAGAATGACGGAAGTGGTGAGACGGATGAACCCTTCGCGAGTCGAGGTCATCCAGAGATTCCTGGATGCAGTCATGCGAAAGCAATGCGAAAAGTTCCAGAATCGTTTCTCTCGGCCTCATGAGACCTTCACGTTTGTCTTCATATCGGAAGTGTGGCAAGTACCGAAGGAATCGACCTGAGAAGAGAGATACGAGAATGGCAAAACCGGGGGCGACGAAATTGACATCAAGGTCATATGCTACAACTGGGAATCAAAAGGGACGAGTTCATTGCGGACGCAGGGGGGTGGTCGGGTGGTGGAAGAGTCCACGGAATCGAAGGGAAAGGGGAGGTGAGCAGAGGGATGACGTCACGGAATTCGACCTTCAACGCACACTTTTTTCCTGGTTTGGAAATAACGGCAGGAGTCGAGATTTTGGCTTTTCGCCGGATCCCCTGCAACGTCACGGATCTGGACCCCTTCACCTTCGGTTCACCTTGACACCCGAGAAATCCGACTTCCCCTCGAAAAGGAATGGACTCGTCCATCTGCCCCGTAACAGAGATGCCGGATCCCCTGCAACGTCACGGATCTGGACCCCTTCACCTTCGGTTCACCTTGACACCCGAGAAATCCGACTTCCCCTCGAAAAGGAATGGACTCGTCCATCTGCCCCGTAACAGAGAAATACCCTGTTTTTTTTTTTCGATCGACTGGATCCCATTCCCTCGTAGCCGAGCGGGAATACGTTCGTGTCGCATTCATTAGACTCAGGATCGAATCCAAGCCAAGAATGTTTCTTAGTTCTTTTTTTTCTCTCTTGATTCTACTCGTAGTTCAGTATCCTTCCTATTCCACTCTTTTCGCACACCGTGAGCTGTGGGAATTTACCATTCGGCACAGGATCGATGCGTCAACGTAAAAGGGTATCGAGCAAAAGTTGGTTTTTCAACGTAACAATGTTGCGCAAAAGGTTCCCTCAATGTCGAAGCAATGTTCAAATGAAACAGTTCAACGTTGAAAATACGTTGCGCCAGCGTGGAATTTTGAGCGTTTGGGAATAACAGTGTCTCCTACGTTTCCCGAGTCCGAACCAGCGCAAATATCGATTACATGTATATTATATTGATGAAAGTACTCTATTCTGTACTGTCATCCCACGGAGAGATCGGACCGGAGAGTGAAGGAAGGACCCCCACGTGGTATCATTCCGCTCTCTCGAGTATTAACATCCCGGAGGATGTCCTGCTCAAGTTCTATTTCCTTTATTAGATCACAATTCGAGTCGAGTATTTCGACGACCCTCCTCTTTCTGTCCGACAAAAGAAATTACAAGTGAATCATCCTCTGATTCTAGGAGAGAAATCGTAACGGGATGTTACCGATTTCACAGGTCAATTTTCACGCTTCATCTCTCTCGAAGGAGATAAAACAGCCCGAGTCCGTGTACGCGCTACGCAGATACTTGGGAAAATGAAGCGCGTCTCCTCTCGAGGGTCTGTCTAGGAATTCCAATGCCTTCCCCGAATTCGTACGCGAGAAAAGATCGGGTATCGTGTGAAAAATACAGGGAACTCGATCCAGAGGCACCAGGGTGAGGCGTCATCTCGCGCCGATCGGTAGAACCTATTTAAATTTGGTCGTCTCGACCACGTCTCGACACGTGAACTTTTTTTTATCAATGTCGACAGGACGTCGTCGTGCCGAATGGGTTGCATCTCCTCGGAAACCATTACGATGGAAAAATGATGCATTTACCTTGTAAAACTGTTGACATGGAGGAAGGAAACAGCGGATGAGATTTCCGCCAACCTGCAAAAGATGAAACGCGGTGACGTCACGACGTCATTATCGTCACGACGAACCCGGAAAACGAAAGGCAAATAAATGAAAGTGGAGCATGCTGGAGCAAGGAGCATCTTCAAGCAGATGCTCCATTGGTGCTTTCCTCGGCAGCACAATACGTTGGGCCCACGTTGGCTGCGAGTGGGAAAAAGTGGGCCAACATCGCAGTGGACTTGCCGATATTGGCCCCACATTGGCACGAGGGCGACAGCCAACATTTGTCAAGACTCAGGATGTTTATCTCAGTTCTTTGAACACGAATGAACATCTGTCTCAGTTATTTGAACAAAAAACTTCCCACAGCAAATGCGAGATGGGGAATATGCGGCAGCTATTTCAGAGGGATCAAGGAGTGATTCATTAATTTCAGATCCCAATACCTTTCTTGAGGTACTTGATCCATTTCCATAAAGAACCTGAAGAAAGACATTCTAATTTCTCAGTTCATTTGTTTAAACAGATTAAGCTCAAACTAAAGGTTAAACAGACTCTTGTTGATCGTGGAGGAAGCATGATTCTTCACTCGATATAGGGAGGATAAAACTATCCAGTTTTCGTTGAGTGTAGAGCCTGCGTCTGGTTCCCCACGGGAAGGTTCGATCATGCGAGTCTTGCCGGACTAGCACTTCCATAGTGGATGAAGGGCCTAATGGGGGTCAAATCCTGTTATGGAAAGTGGAGGGCTCGACGCATGACAATCGGAGAAAGTACTATTCCCTGGAGTACTTCCAGCCAGAGAGAGACTTTGTGGCAAGGTTCCCGGTAGGGGAGCTCAACAATTACCTACGGAAATTCAATCTCATTCGAAACCTCCATTAATCCCCAGAATGTGCAAGTCGGAACTTGACCAAATTCAAACTCCTCGCATTCACAAAGTATTAACAACTAAGAAATTGGGAGTGTTTCTTTCCCTCTCAACGCAGCTCCAGCTTATTTGAAGCTGAACCTCCCCGGGGTTGTGAAGAACACTCCACTTCGCTTTCACAAGATATTAATTTTGTTCCTTTTTTTTCTGCCCTACCCGGGTAGGGGAGAAAAATACTCCTGGGAGGATTTCGGAAGAAAGAGACCAACCGTAAGAAAGATAGTGACATGTAGATGATGAGAATTGTCCGTTTTGGTTGTTTGCGATGTTGTTTGCCAGATGCATGACTGCTTCGACCTTCGTATCAATGCTCTAAATTTTGCTTTTTTCATTGTAATGATTTATATTTTTGCTGAGTTCAGGGGATGAGATAAAACTGAAGCAGTTGTCGATCAATGCGGTGGGATATCGAGATGTCTTAAACGGACATCATCATGGATTTTATGCCTCCGGGGGGCTTTCTCTCCACAGACCTAGTCGAGATGGTTCGGGGAGCTCCAGATAAGCCTACGTTTCATGTTTGAACTGAAAAGGTTCAAAGACTTTTCATCTTTTCGTCATTGTGAGTTTTTTTTCCAGGAGAACAGTACAACTTTGGCTGAAGAACGTGACTCCGGTCACATAACCTCCTTAGTCACGGAGAGAGAGGTTTTTCTGAATACCTTTTGATGCAAAGTAGTAGTTACAGCAGTAATTCCATCCTGGATGTCCATGCTCCACTCACTTTGCACGGCCAATTTTGCACAATCAAGTACAATCATGAATTCGGCATACCTGACCGACTTCAAAGATACACCACACTTGGTCCATGAATCACGTTGGGTGAATCTGAGTGCTGAATCCATATTCATATAGGCATATTTTCAAAATGCATCAGTTACACTATGTACATCTTCAAGCAAACCATTACCTGATTAATGATCAAAAGAGCCGAATTCTAAGCATATAGTATTCTATGTAGAAACGTGAGTTATAGAAAGACATTAACGCATAAAAAGTGAAACTACCACTTACGCACCTAATGAGGTGAATCCTGCTTTTTGCTAAAGAAGTGTATCCTCTTATTTACAGCCAGAAATACGAATCATAACATGAATAGCGACAGAATGTAGAGATCACATTAGGAATAAATATGCATCACATACGTTACATGCATCACAAAAAGCGAAACTGCCTCTAACGCACCTGAAGACCTAAAATATGCTGCTGTTTTTCAGCCAGAAAAACGAATCATATCCGGCATGTCGACAGAATGCTAAGATCTAATAAGGAATGAAGAAGCATTACGCACGGTTCATGCATCACTTTGAGCGAAACTACCACTCATGCATAAAAAAGTTGAATCCAGCGTTTTATTGCCAGAAATATGAATCAAAGCATGAAAAACGACAGAATGCTGAGATTTGATCAACTTCGAAGAGCATCACACTCGGTTCATTCATCACTTTTGGTGAGACTACCACTAACGCATCTAAATGCATTTAATAGGTAGAAACAAAAATCATAGTATGAATATCGAATGTTGACATGTAGTAAGCAAACAAGATGCATCACACCCGGTACGTGCACCACAATAGGTAAAACTACCATTAACGCACCTAATGAGGTGAATCCTGCTTTTTAAAGTAAAACATACGAATCAAAGCATGAATAGCGACAGAATGTAGAGATCTGAATAGCAATAAAGATGCATCACACCCGGTACCTACATCACTTCTGGTGAGACTAACGCATCATAAGAGTTGATTCCTGCATTTAATAGGCAGAAACACTAATCAGTGCATGAAAAGCGACAAAGTGCTGAGATCCAAGTAGCAATGAAGATGCATCGCACTCTGTAACTCCATCACTTAGAGCGAAACTACCTCTAACGCACCTAAAGAAGAAAAAACTGCTGTTTTTCGGCCAGAAATACGAATCATACCCTGCATCCCGAGCAATCGTTGAGATCTAATATACATCCATCACATTGAGCGATTCTTAGCGAAACTACCTCTAACGCACCTAAAGAAGAAAAAATTGCTGTTTTTCGGCCAGAAATACGAATCATACC